CAATTTGGAGTTGGACGGGCCCACAAATAATTCGACAGTTTTTGTGGTTGATTGTTACAGGTCGGTTACGCACCAACGAAGAACGACACCGAAGGCACCTGGCGGAGAGTGTTGCATGCGAGGTGTGCGGCGCTGCCCAAGAATCGATTTTGCACTGCCTAAGGGATTGTAGCATGCTGAGCAAACATGGCGTCGGACTCCTCCCGAAACAGCACCATAATTCCTTCTTTAATTTAGACTTAAGAAATCGAGCCGTGTGCTTGGCGCCACAATGTGGACCTTTGTTTGTAGTATATTTGGGCATGTGGTAACCGAGCTACCCGACTCGGGTCGTTCTCAAAGGAAGGTTTTTCGGAGTTTCGTTCACTATCTAGTCGTCAAAGTCACAAAACCGAAAACAAGGTCCTAAACATGCTACTCGCTTGATTGAGGGATGATTGCACGCACTTGAACTACGAATCTAAGGGCGAATGATGGAAAATGCAAATATAGAGAAAAAGATCGAAACTTTAGTCTACCGGAATCCCCATGACTCAAGAAAAAGAAAAATAACAAGAGAAATCATGCAAGCATAGCGATCCTAAGTCTTCTAACACGAGCTTTCTACACTAAATCATTACGCTTTGAGCAAAGTCGAAATCTTTCTAGATAAACACATATTGAATCCTAACACACCAAAGCAAGCAATGAAAATAGAGCGAAACCCTAGAATCAGCATCAATACAAATCGAAAAACAAACTCGAAGTAATTAGCCCTAAGCAAGGTACTCACCCTCCTATCGCATGCGTAGACGAAAATAGTGCGTAAAACTCGAATCTTGATCGAAAATAAAGATGTCGGAATTTCACCAGAAAAATCGAGTCATGAGTCTCCAACCAAAATATAAAAAAGGAAAAAAGAAAATAGAGAGGAATTCTCAACTTAAAAGTTGAGAAATGAGGGTGATATAGGATATTATCTGTACAAAGACGAGCCGATTTGGTGAGCCGGTCGAGAAGAGCAGATCGGAAGCAAACCAGGTCGAAAGGCGGGAATCCACGTGATCGAGCAGCCCAAGGCTCGACCACACAAGCGATCGAACAATCCGAAGCTTGACTGCACAGGTGATCGAGCAGCCCGATGCTCGACCAGATGGGTCGAGCTACCCATTAATCGATCAGACGAGTGATCGAACAAGCTAAGTGATCGAGCAAGTTGATCGACATAGACCCAGGCGCGTGCATAGCAGATGCGCGTGAGGACCTCTGACTGAGCTTCAGGAGAATATTTACCCCATGTGTCGGTGGACACGTGTTGACAATGTATTGGGTGATAGCGATAACCACCTCTGACAGCGCCCAACGTCCCGCGACACCTCTAACATGTGCGCGGCGTGTCAGAGTACGGACGGGCAGCTTGGGCAGCACACGTATCCTTATACGGGCAGCTATTAGGGCAGGTATCTCACCCCTATAAAAGGGGGATGAGCCTTTCTTCCTTAACACGTTCTATTCATTCTCTAAATTCCAGTATACTCATACACATACTGACTTAAGCATCAGAGGCTCTTCACCGGATCCAACCCCCGGTGTGAGAGTTATTTGCAGGTTCTCGGCGTTCTACCGGCAAGGACAAGAATCGATCTACTCCAAACTGGACCCGGACGCTTACACTTGCATTAGCGTTAAATGTTGGTTGATTTTTATGTTAATATCTTTTGTAAATAGGTTGTCTTTTTATATATTTATAGATTTGAAGACACTTACAATTTTCCTAAACTATTTTGAAAAAAAAAACATGTGTAAAATATTAAACTTAACATATATATATATATATGTGTGTGTGTGTGTGTGTGTGTGTGTGTGTGTGTGTGTATGTATATATAGTTATAATATGACATGATAAAATATTATATAAAAGTATCTATCATTTTATAAGCCTAAATAAAGACATTATAAATTTTCTGAGAGAAAAATTTACCTAGTATATATAAAATAAATATTGACATGATCCCAAATTATGACGGTACTTCTCAAAATTTGAGTATATAATATTTCATAATTATTATTTTTCTATAAGTTTGTTACCGTTAAAAAGAAATTTTGTACACATAATAATTTCACGCTTTATGCAGATTTATTAAGTTTACAAATACAACTCAAAGATTAATGTAAACTGTAACAA